ACTCATAATAAGGCCAGTTTGATGAAAGGGGGGCTTCCCGTACAAATAATCGGACTGTTCAGTCCACGTTGTGACAGAGTTACAATGCCACGGGACGTCTTTGTCCACCCGACAAAAGTTCTATTCGACCGCCAGCTTCTCAAGCCTCGATAGCCTAAAAGAATAAAATAAATAAAGACATTTTTCGTCGAATGTAGCGAGTTTCCCGAGTAACGTACGGGACGGGCGCACATTGGAAGGTTATATGAGCGAGATGTTTTTCTTAAGTGAATGGAGTTAGATGTATCGCCGGGTGCTTCTAAAAGCCAACCCGGTACTAAAACGCTAAGCTGCATGATAAGAATGACGATACCCGTCTCTCACTAACGCTGCTAGTGTTATCAAAGAACAGACATTGTAGCAAAAGACTATTTCAAATCTCAATGAACGCTGCTTGATTCAGTTTCTCGACGAGAGAAATGTCCACGTATTTAAATCATCTGGTGAAAACCGCGGTTTTTCTTTACAGAAACACCCAGTGGCTATAACCCCAATATTCTGTAAAGACGAATTTCTTTCAGAATTCCTGCCATTGGTTCCGAAAATAAGTTTTAAATCAAAGAAATATATTTTTTACAACATAACATGAAAAAAACATACCATGAATCGTACCCCCTACATGTCATCATCCAAGTTTTCTAGTTAAGTTACTGGGACTTGTACGTCACAATATCACATGATATATAACATGTATAAAACATCTGTTTTGTTATATTGGGTGTTCATCACACACAATAACATGCTTAATTTCATTTGTCACTTTAATATGAGTGACATTTATGCAATATTTTATAGCTGGTACGAAATACATTTTTTTTAATTTAAAAAAAATCATTCTTACATATATTATCATCCCATGCCCAAATGACGTTTTAGATATATTAACGTGTAAATATATCTGTAGTTCAGTTTCCTTTTAAACTCAATTGTCCATATACATCGACGGGGCGGAACTGGTTGAACCCTTTCAACCTACAGATAAAATAAAACTGGTTCTTTGACCTTGCATTTTATTTCTTTGATGAGTTTCTAGATTCATCAGTTGCATCCGGAGAGACTATGAAATAACGCAGTTAAACGCGTTTGTGTAAACGGCTCTTAGTGACCACGGCAGTTTCCGATTGTTCGCTTGAATAAAAGCTCATCTTCAGGATCAGAGGGACAGTTTGGACGATGTGAACGCTGTGGTCGTACGAGGGAAATGATAGTTGCGAAATACATCCTATATTAGTGCGAATTACCAAAACAAGAGCTATACTTGTCAAAATACTCTTGAAAGACGGAAACAAGTCGAGTGATTGGAAGTAGTCCCGTATTGGCCCTTGTTGAAAAACGGAAGTACATTGCCGTTGAGTCGTATTATTCAACTAACATCAAAGGGGTTAAAAGAGCCCTGTTGATCATGATCATCATCATGATCATCATCATCACGTTATTTTCCACGTGACCCTCTTCGTATATTATTAATTAATTAATATATAATTCAATCATAATAGGGTATGTCGAAAATATGAAATATGAACACGTTTTAAAGTATTTGTATCTATGGATTAACTTATGTGTGTATACTTAAGACTTATGTATATGAGGTAAATATAACTTTGTCTGCGATTTCATGTGTTGAAATAGATACTCGGTATATGTTTATGTACATACATGTATTTACATCGTTCGTACGTATTGTTAGTGTAGCGTGCGATGTCAGCTATGCTGGTTTGTCCGTTGCTGTCACCATGTGCATCAGTATTAAATATACATGTATACCTTTACTGTTGGATATGATGCTGTGACTTCAGTATACCACCTATACATGTATATTATGTCAGTATATAGTGAATATATATGAACACTTATACTGTTAGTTGTGACACGGACGTGACTTCACTATATCAAAGGGGCGGTGGTGTAGCCTAGTTGTTAAAGCGTTCGTTCGTCACACTGAAGCCCCGGGTTCGATTCCCCACATGGGTACAATGTGAGAAGGTCATTTCTGGTGTCCCCCGTCGTGATATTGCTGGAATATTGCTAAAGGTGGCGTAAAACCACACTCACTCACTATACCACATGTACATGTGCATCTTGCGAGGCATGGGTTTCCACCAGCCTATATCAAAGCCTATAGTTTCTGGAAACTAGACTTTGATATATAGGCTAGTGGACACTCTTGCCTTGGGAAGATGATACCGTTATAGCATGTCATTAAATATACATGTATAATTCTACTGTTCACTATACCACATACTAGGATACTAGTATAGCATGTCATTTTAGTGAGTGAGTGAGTGAGTTGGGTTTAACGACGCTTTTAACATTATTCCAGTTATATATCACGGCGTGTCAGCTTAATGTGGGAGGAAAGCCCGAAGTGATGCAGGTCTCAGACGTTTACCACTTCGGTGAAACCCATGAGCACGGGTATGGTGCTGACAAACCTAGAAACATAATCGGGGCGAACAGGGATTCGAACCCACAATCATAGGTTTCTTGCATGCCCAAGGGACGCAACTCTGCACAGCGAATCGCGGCGCCTTAGGCGACTGGGCCACCCGTGCCCCCGCATGTCATTTTAACGTCGTGTTGAAGATTATTGCATATATATATATCGACGAGCATGTACGTGTGTGTGTGGTCGCTGTACTTGTCCGAACTAGTGCCGGTTTATAGTGCTAGCCTACTGAGGTATGGATAGCCCACTCAGGCACAATATTCTGACTTCCATCGTCTTTGTTTAGTCACTTAATGCCGAGCGCCAGGCAGGGTAACAACAAGTGCCACATTTTAACTCATTTTGATATGACGCGGTCGGGAATCGAACCACCGACCTTCCCATCACAGGGCAGACACTCTATCCAATACACCGCGGAGTCTGTCATGTGACGTTGTGGTGACTTCCTTATACCGCATATACATGTATAACCTGACGGTATATTAAATATACATGTATACATGTATAGCCTGTCGGTATATTAAATATACATGTATAGCAAGTGTATTATCTACGTGTGTCTGGTTGTTTTGATTCCTGCGTGACACTAAACACAATGGACATTATATTTGATAGAAGACTTGTTCCAATGGCACGTGTTGTCATTTCCGCACAGTGACTGGCATGAGACCCTCTGCCAAGTGAAAACCGTATAGCATCATAAACAGATTAACATTCCGAATATCATACATATTTACATATTCTATTAGTTTTATACTTATATGTCGCAGCATCAATAAAACATCCGTCGGAACGCATGAAATTTACTTTTCGGTTCCTTTATATTTGAATACCAACTGTCGATCACAGCATAAATGCACCCAGATGTCGTTTAACGACACCGTCATATTTATAGATGTCGTGAATGATTGATCTGTGCAGGGCACGTGCACTTCAAAATGCCACAGTGCATTCGACACGGGCCAACTTGTTGAGATCGAGAACATCTCAGAATCAGCGGGGACTATCTAATAACGGTCACGTTCGACACGGGTTCCATGCTGCATTGGTGAAATGACTTTTAATCGGAGGAAATTCCCCTACAGAATTCCCATCACAACGAAGTGAATAAAGGAAAAAGGTCGCCATAATTAGGAAGAAAATGGCACGGGTAATCCTCGAATTTCTACAACAAAAATCTTTAATGAAAAAATCAATTTCTTGTAATTCACTTCGGAGTAAACTCAAATTAGCTGAATCTCTGCCTCTGTTTGCATCTATTAGATGTGGTCCGTGCGTTTTTCAAATCGATACAAGCATGTTCCAAAATGAAAAACGCCAGCCTTTCATGGTCACGCAGGGTTTGTAAACACCTTTATTCCCGTGCTTCCTCTTAGCGGACGGTCTAATTATACTAGTCTATCAGTCCATTTACAGAAAGTTCCACCAACCCGCCGTCAATCATAACAACGCCGAAATCCGATGCATTTTATCGACAAAGCAGTTTTCAGTCACTGTACTTGAAAGTATAGCTCAGCCGTTGATAGTTGGAAAAACGACATTGAATGCTCTATAGGGTATGGATCGATGTTCCTGCGGTAGTCACATTGTTGCAAACGCAAATACAGTGTTACGTTTCTTGCCGCTCATCGTCTATTGATTAAGAGACAAAAGATCGTCATATTTCACAAACATTTATTCCGCTATCTCGCCTCTGGATCCACAACCAGATGGAGAGGATATGCTTTGGAAATCGTCAATATGGGGCCTTCAATCACACATGTGATGATAATCGAATCTCATTAAACATGATACAATTGGAAACACATTAGCTAGATCTAATACAGATTACGTATGGAACTTCCTCAAATCTATCTCACATTTATTGGAAATAGATGGTTTGATAGGGTGTAGCAAAGCATTCATATCGTCTAACTTTGCAAAAGTAAAACGAAGCTAAACCATGTCATAGTTTAACTACCCATTTAGTTTACGAAAGAGGAGCGCCTAAAATGAGGTATTAATCCTGCTTTCATCGCATGACATAACTGAACCTAGTTAATAAAATGTTAAAAATATAGCGGCTTTAAAATGTAATTTTACACAAAAACTCAGAAAGATAAGTTACCAACTCATGGGTGGTTGAAAATTAAGATGAACGCTAACGGAAACAAGCTTTTCTTTTTCACAGAGCTGAAGCCATTTAGAGGATCATTTCACGCTTAAATATGTCTTTCCCTACATCAAAGTTAAAAATCAGTCGTAATGTCTTGTGATCACAGTTCAAGACGCGCGAGAAGTTTGTGGGCCTAACTAAGATTTGAAAGACATCTAAAGTTACGCCTTCGACTGTCAAAACAACTCACGACAGCATAGGTTGGTAGTTTAGATTAAACAAATGTTGTCGACACCCCTATCCAAGTGTTTAGCAGGACTGGATTCCATGTGATCATAGTGTTTTGCATTTCAAACCTCGGGTGTTAATATATGCCGCACGTGACCGCGTCTGACCAATCAGCGCGGACTAGTTTTCTTTGCGGAATGTATTGAGTGGAAACGTGGGAGTCTCAGCTCATTGCTCGATGAGCGTAGAACTGAACAGTACGGCCGATATTACATCTAGTGTGGACAATATATACTCTCCGTGTGGTGCGCTATGTTGGATATACACGTGTAAGCATGGGTCCCGGGATCCGGGACAGACTTGATGTCCGGTGATCGTGGGGTCGATCGCGGACCTCACAACCCTGTAGGCTGCGAACCTACAACACTAGCAGGCAGGCCAGGCCAATATGGCGGCCATGCCTCGACTGTTTGTGAGTGTTGCTTTTGTTGTTTTGGGGAGTTACATTGTCCAGCATGGAGCTTTTGGAGAAAATGTACTCTGTCCAGGGGCTTGCTCGTGTCTTGCCCGAATGGTGGACTGTAGTAAGAAGGGTCTCATCGAAGTGCCGAAGGATTTACCAAGTTGGGTAACGATATTGTGAGTATCTCAAGTCCCTCTGTCTTTCTGCCCGCTTGCACACATTTCTTTGACAAATACACCACCGACCGCACTACATACAACTGCATAAATACACCGTAATGAATATATGCAGCGTCCATCATGTGTCTATTCTGTTTTTGCATGTAAAAACGTTACGCGACTTGTGTTTTGATGCCGATTTTGTTGTGAAGCGGAGGGTGCGTTATAACGAGACGTGACCGGAGACAGGGGTTGTGTGAAGGTATTTGTTGTGTATTTCACCGCTATCTTATCGCTCGAATCTGACAGTTATCCGCTGATCGGTATTGCATTAACATTGTTATACGACAGGTGGACAGTGCATATTGCACGAACCCTACTGGAATACACAACTTACCACATGTGCGTTGCTACTTGAAATATACATAGTGTTGCAATGTAAACATTAGTGTTACAATGAATATGACCACGGTGTTGTTTTATCTGAGGGTATAGAGATTCGGACAAAACGGACACTTTTTAAGTTTGGAGAACGCAAACTTGATTCAATATGAAAACCACAGATTAATATAATAACATTTTATGTATTGCCAACAACATTAAATATAAATTTATAAAACTTATCAAAGCTCATGTGAAATTTTGAAGTGTGAAACGACAATGTGGTAATGGTGTCTTTACGCTTTAATGGATATTCCGAACCAGCAAACATAAGTTTCGTAAAGCACATATGGTGTAAGTAAGAAAAATGTTGAGAGGAAATCATCAGAGTGGGCTTCTGGTCCTTGTTTCTCCTGCCTGACGGGGTTTGTATGGCAATCCCAGCTGGGATGTATGGGGGATAGCTTGTGGCAGCACCCCATACAGCTCTGCAGGCACAAAACCATACACATTGACGGAGTACTACACACATTTTAGATCAGACTCCACTGCAATTGAACACAAATGCAGGATATCGCCTGGTACACATGTGAAAGATCTCTCCCTCACTGTAAGGTCATACAATCCAGCCCAGTGAGGACGAGAATGAGTTTCCACTGTCAATTTTATGAAGAATAACTGTTCTACTGTGCTGAGTTTTTTTATCTCCTTTGGTAATTGAGGTGTTTATTCCATCTGCTTGGAAATGCTAATTTGAAAATAATACCTTTGCACATTTTGAAACTTTGGTATAATTATGAATAGTTATACCATATGTAGTCTGCTTGGAAACTTGACAGGAAAAATATCTGGTAGCTGTTAAATTCATCATGTCAGAAAGATGAAAAAAAATCCGCGAGGCCAGACGAAGAACATATATGATATGGAACACATCGCCTCCTATAACCATCAACCCACACAACAAGCTATGACCAGTGTTAACAAAATTATATCAAATAGAGTTAGAAATTAAGAGGTGTCCTGGCATCTGTGGGGATTTCTGCTATGGTGTCTTAATCTAGGATGCCCGAATCTTGCCCTTAATGTCAAAGATCCCTTGCATTCCAATTTCATATGTGGTTTTAAACATTGTTTGTCATGTAATGTTATTAATATGATTTTTATATAGATAATATAAGTAAATATATAAATTTTAACACTTATCAGATTCCAATAATGTGTAGACAAAAGTTTAAAACTTACGACAAAAACCTCAAATTGAAATTAAAAATGTCAATTTTCATCCCTATTAATCATCATTGCTTAAGGCAGGAATGGGCTTCATGAGAAAATTCACATTGATTGTGCTTGTTAAAGTGTGAATTTTAAATGTCGTTTTATCGGGGCCTCCTCCTTGGCTCCGTTCAGCAGCCTGCCAGAACAAACACGAGCGTTCACACTCTATCATGGAGGATTGAGGATTAGCCATGTGTCTTTTGAAGTGTCCGAGTATCAACAGTCTATGTCTTTTTCAAATAAAAAGAGAATGCGTCCCATTTGCATGAGACTGTATGTTTAAGAGGTGGAAACCCTTGCCAGCTTGTTATTATGTGCGCTGACAGTGTCTCCGTTCTACACTCAGCCCAGGTGCTATGTCAAAACACTCACTCACACACTGAAAAAACTAAGTTCGGTTCAAATCTTGTCCCAATGTGAAAATGACATTTCATCGCGAAATGTTACATGCGGAAAATGTAAAAAATGTCGCTGCTCAATATCTAAAATCGCACGAAACCGTGTTTTTGTTGGATAAGACATATTAATAGTCTTTTGTTTTGTATGTTATTTTCTCCAACTTAAAATAGTTCGATCAATAAGAATGTCTACAACAACTCCAAGGTAAATTCAACACAACCAAAATAAAATGTTCACGGAATCGGCTATTCTTGCCTCACACACTGCTTCATTATGAAACTCTTGTTTTGACATTATTTCGTTGAATAAATCTGTATTGGCAATTTTGACACGGATTATAAACATTTGACTTTTTTTTCCAGGGATTTACAATCAAATGCAATAACAACTTTGAATCCTGATGACTTCAAGGGATTACATCTTACAGAATTGTGAGTATAAGTTTTCAACAGCTCTTGCTTCATCCCCTTCACCAAAGCTGAATCAGTCATAACACACAAATCAAAATTTGTCCAAATTTTGTTTTTAATATATTTATTGTCTCTACTTTGGATGCCATTAGCTCAGAAAGAACACAATATCTGAACTGATAACCTCAATGATATATATTTTGTTCACGCCTTTATCATGTTTATGTTGGAAATGTACATGACAAGAAATTTCCAAATTTCTCCAGCCTTCTGTCCCTCCAAACAGAAAGACCAACACATGCTTGACATTTTCTGTGATTGTATAGTTATGGTACAGGGTACCCCCACAGCTCCACTATCCTGAAGTTGTCACACATGCAATGCACTAATTGTTAACTTTCAGTCACAGCTGGTTCTAATTAAAAATTAACGCGAGATTTGTCAGGTGGTAGGAGATTCAAGTTCACATGACTATCACTGCCAGACATCTTGATATACATGAGTTATGCAATTCCAGAGATCATCTACCCGAATATTTCTTCACCAGTCAAACAAAAATTCATATTTCCCAACGACCACGACTACATTCTGTGCGATACGATCTTTATCACACACAAACATGTCAAGTCACCTTTTCCGTATTTTATGTCACAGGCTTATTTCTTTACAAGCTGTAAAATAGTTTTGGAAACATATGCTTATGTGGGAAGTAATTTGGGTAAAATGTAGTTTTTACTGTGTGTCTTTGAGTTCGACTTAAAACACATTCACATCCGAGTTAGTGCATCTAAATTGGGTTGTTTATTTGTTTAGAATCACAATCTCTAGTCTAGTTCAAGTGAAGATATTTCTCTCTGCTGTCAGTTTATTCTTCATTAAGCCACCCAGTAAGCCTGGCTTACATAACACCTTTGTTTATTTTCCTTTCCATGCTAAGATGCAAGTATAGATGGAGGCTGTAAAGTCACTAGACAAAGAGAGGTCGCTAAGTTCCAAAATGGAAGATAAGCATTATGTTTCCTTAGCTGACATGATGCCATGTATCGGTCACACCTATTTACAAATACATCAGTAATGTCAGTTATTCAGGATATTTCTGATTATTATAACCTTTTTCATTAACAAAGTGCCCTGTGAAATAGTTCTGAAACCTTTGAGACGGCCCCTGATGAGAGATGCCCCTATCACCTGATTATTTTGATTGCATATTTGTCCAATTAGTGTATTTTCACCTGTGAGTACCTGAGTTTTGCCGCACTGATTAAAGGTTAACAGGTGTTTTTCTAGGTCATGGCAGACTGTGTACCCATCAGGTATTTCATTACAATACACAACAGAGTAGATGTAATTAAGCTGTTAATGATTTAATTTAACGCTTTGTATGAGGTGTTAATTAATTGATTAGTGTCAAGTTGTTAAATGCATGATAATTAAGGTTTGGTCATTGACAAGCCATTACATATATTTGTTCATGATAATAAATGAAGCTTTGGTAATCAAAAATATGAGTTACAATTGGTGATCAAACTAGCTGATTTAAAAAATGGCACATATGTAATTTCCGAAATCAAATCCAACCAGTTATGTATGCGTAATAAAGTTTGTAGGTGAAATACCCTTGATTTATTCAAGGTGTTTGACAGACAGCTGGGAGGTATCAAAGTTCAGATTTGACAGTCGGTGTGATCTCACAGATGTGAACACACCTTGATACAAGAAATTATAGACGGCAGGGGGTACTCACTCGAGATTACAGGCTATTCATTCCCACTCGTGGGATATCTACCCTTATCAACCTTCGAGCAGATTTGATTACTTCATCCTGAAATTGCTGAAGTGACTAGCATATCTGACTGTAACATCTGACATAGATATGTAGGTATAGCAGTGTTGCCCATGTAGATGAATACTGATCGAGGTACTATTTTATGGACAACTTTTAAATTGAAGTATGGCAATGCTTTTTAATCACCCCTGATAAACTCTTGCAATTAATTCATAGATGCATACTTAGACATTTGTGCAGATAAATAATTATATGAATTAGCCAAACGGAAGATTATTAATGCACATATTCATGACCCCCAAATTATGATTGCACGTTTATGAATGCATACATAGTATGAAGTCATAAGAAATCATATATGTACATTTCTCTGTTTGAATATTGTTAAATATTTATTTTTGAAAAAAATGTCAGTGTTTGTGTAACAGGGGAATTAATTAAGTTATTTGTGAATTTCATTGATCAAAGTTTTGTTTTCAGTTAATATCTTTAAGGGCAGCATAAGCTCGATATACTAGAGAGTCATCAGCTCTGAATGATCAATAAAATCACAAGTTAACATTCAAACTCTAGGTCTGAACTGTGCGGTTTAAGCTTTCCAGTATCCAAATGCTTGTGTGAGAAATTCAGTTTTATGACTGTAATCTTAGAAGCATCTTTGCTGGTGACATTTACTGAGTTTCACTAGCAGTTTGTGTGTGGGGCACCTTGCAATTAATGCCAGTTATATAGAGCCCAGGTGTGCTACATGGAGGGGCTATTGCTTCCAGTCAGGGTCTGTGATGGGAACAGTCATGCAAACAGGGTAACCCGATTACAGCTCCCCCACGTCTAGGACAACCGACACTGAACACTACACTGTCAATCACATAGTTTTGTCTGTATGGCCGCTTGGTGAGGATTAGAGAAGAAATTGCCCATGACTTGCGGATTTCTTTTTTGTTTCGGATATAATTGGTGTTGATTTTGTGTTTTTTAATAAGGTTACTGGTAAATGGTAATATACAATTTTATATGACTGCTATCTATTTTGATATGTTTTTTTCTATATTTTTAACATAGATTATTAAGTATGATTATTATGAATATGAAACAGTTGATATGACAGTGATATTGATAATAATGATGGTATTTTTTTATGTCAAATATGATAAAAAAATATTAAATGTTTGCAAATGAAAAGGTATGTTGAAGGTATTAACCACATGATAATTGTACTAAGGAAAGTAGCATTTGTTTTTCGTAATGTTGGTATCAGGAAATAGAGAATGTTGTTTTGGGGATTTTATCAGTTTAACAAATACAGGAATGTGTCCCAAGACATGGCTGTGAAGTAATGTCACTGATGTAATGATATGTCAGGGTTAAAGGCTTGTGTGCTTGTCCTTACTGTTGTATTACACAGCTCAGTGTGTGATACGTGTGTTATTGCCCATGTCAGGAATGTGATAAGAGTGTGCAGTCTGGTGTCAGTGTCGGGTACATGTTCATCTGATAGCAGTCACTTATTTCCCCGGCATCAGCTGACATACTGGATCTTCTTGAAGTCTTCCCCACATGTTCTCACCATACCTACATGAAACCCTTTCCATCCATCCCCTCATGAAACCCTTTCCATCCGTCTGTACATGAAACCCTTTCCTTCCATCCCCTCATGAAACCCTTTCCATCCATCCCCTCATGAAACCCTTTCCATCCGTCTGTACATGAAACCCTTTCCATCCATCCCCTCATGAAACCCTTTCCATCTGTCTGTACATGAAACCCTTTCCATCCATCCCCTCATGAAACCCTTTCCATCCATCCCCACATGAAACCCTTTCCATCCGTCCCCTCATGAAACCCTTTCCATCCCTCCCTTCATGAAACCCTTTCCAACCATCTCCTCATGAAACCATCTCCATCCGTCCCCTCATGAAACCCTTTCCATCCATCCCTTCATGAAACCCTTTCCATCCGTCCCCTCATGAAACCCTTTCCATCCGTCTCCTCATGAAACCCTTTCCATCCGTTCCCTCATGAAACCCTTTCCATCCGTCTGTACATGAAACCCTTTCCATCCGTCCCCTCATGAAACCCTTTCCATCCGTCCGTACATGAAACCCTTTCGGTCCGTCCCTCTCATGAAACCCTTTCCATCCATTTCTTCTCTGTCTTCCTTCATCAAACCCGTCCCCATTTGTGCTCTCCCAACAGATAACTTTCCTCTGCCCCTCCCCAAAAGATTTTCTGTCAATGGATTCAAACGTGTACATGTTTATGATATATTAATATTTTTCATAGTATTAATGCTTGTAATCTGTTTTCAATGCAGTGTTTTTGTTTGTGGAACATTTAAAAAAAAACTATGTATGGTGGATCTCCTCCTCACTTAGCCCTGCTTAATGAGGTTTGTTTGCTGTGACCCTGTAGACCTGGCTGTTATTCTGGCTGGTACATGTTGACTGTAGTTCCACCAGCTGCCAAATTTCAGTATTCAATGATCAAGGTCTGATTCCCTCCAAGGGGATTGGATATCGAAAACAGACCTTTGAATCCCCCCTTCAGTGCAAGCTCCTCACACACACACTGAATGTTTGGTGAGGCCACGAGTTGTGGAATAGACAGCGGCGAGGAAGTCTATTTCTCGTGAATTCTCCTCCATGCTTGCTCTCCCATGATCAATACCTCCTTGGTCTTAATAATGTCAGATATTTATTTGCAATCTCTTTGGACTAGAGTAAACAGAATGTACTGTCTTCAAATTTTTATTATCAGTTGGATACACATTAAAGCCTATTTCGCCTCAGCCACCAGCTACAGGCACAGCTCAACACTATTTCTGTCAATCGAGAACCGAATTTACATAACTAAACAGAGTGATCGTTAATTGCATGTCAGAAAAGTGAGATCTTTATTTGTCAAGTTGAGGTCCTCCATGAGCGTGGTCCATGCTAGGTGGGACTAGTGGTCAGTCAAGATCAACAGAAGCTACAATGGCTTCTTGTCAGACCCTTTCACTCTTATTTCTAAAGAAATCACTGGCAAGTCGGGCCAGTAAGGGTCACTTTTGGCTGGACGTTATTTATTGAGAAATTGGTCTTCACTGGCAAGGGGAGCGTCTTTTACCGAAGGTATTTGTGAAGGACAGATTCCGTATGAATTGGTTGTTACAATAAACACCAGAGACTCTCACAATACATTGGCCATTAAAATGCGGGTTGGTGTATAGGCAGTAGAGATCAACAATGGACCA